CAGGCACACCCATCCATCCATTCGCTGCCCTCAGGACAGGAATCCAGGCGGGAAGCTGCCCAACCACGGCTGAACTCTCGCCGGCCCTGCTCRACCGGCAGCCAGGGCCCCTCAGCTCAGAGCGCCGGCCGGCCCGGCGGCGGGCGGGTCTCCCCTCACGGCACTGGGAAGTAGAGATCAGAGCCCCGCGGGGGTTCCACAGCTCCCTCCCTCCCTCCTTTCCTTCCCCCCCACCCCAGTCCCGGCCGTTCCCGTTCCCCTTCCCGTTCCCATTCCCGCTCCCGTTCCCGTTCCCGCACCCATGCACCCCCCACACCCACCGGCCGCCACCACCGCCGCCGCCTCAGCGAACCGCGCGCGCCCGCTCTGGCCCCGGCCCCGCCCCTCCCCGACCGCCAATCGGACAACAGCGCTCCGGGYGGCGCAGCCAATCAGAGACCGGGAGGGCGGGCCGAAAGGGAGAGGGCGGGTTTGCTGCTCTGACGTCACCCGAGCCTGTGGGAAGGTCGGCGCGCGCCTCAGACGCAGCCAATAGGAAGCGCCCGCCGTGCCGCGCGCCGTCCAATGGGCGTGGGGTCCGTGCCTCGTGAGGCGGAGCCGGCCCCGCCCCCGCCGCGGCGCGSAGATGGCGATGGTGTGCCGCCCTGYGTGCATGGGCTGGCGACTCTGCGTGCTTTCTAAGGATCCTTCCCGCGTTCTCTCCTCTGTCTCCCCCCTGTCCCTTCCGGGTCCCTCCTGCGTCCCCCGCCGAAGCCCCCGCCGGCGGCCCCGGGCGCTCCCCTCTCAGCCTGGCAGACGCGCGCTGGTGTCTCGGCTCCCGCCTTGCCAGTCCTGCTCACACGTGATGACCGAAAAAACCAAACACACACACACACACGCAGACAGACACACACACACAGAGACACACACACACACACACACACACACACACACACAGACAAGGACAGAGAGGGAGCAGTGTCCAGGCTCAAAAAAGGCCCAGAAATCAAACCCCATAGACTGGTGTCTATAGAGCAGGTATTTGTTTATTACAGCGATGGTGTTAGCGCTGGAGGTGAGGGGGATTTCTCCTCCTAACCCACCCGCCTTTGCTTCAAATTAGCACATATTTATACAGTGAGCATGGTGTAACATTATCATTGTCACTGCCCCCCATATGCCCACCATACACCCATCACTATACATGGGCATGGAAATACATGATATCACAGTTTTACAAGTATGCATGTGTCATCCTCAATTCAGTGGTCACGGGGGTCTCCCTCGAATGAGACACCATCCTCTTCAGCATGATGGACTTTTCACCTTTGCCTTCAGGGCATGCGCAGTTATGATGTTCATGGGTTTTTTCTAGTCCTCCAAGACGTAATTTCCAATTATTTTGCTGATTGTCCCGTGCTTCTGCCAAGGTCTCATTAGTGCTCGCTTCTGTTCCTTGTTATAGCATCTACCTGTCTTTCTTCAGAACTCTTCGGATTTATACCTCTTGGTGCTTTCACGTATCTGTGTACTAATCCAGCTGGTTAGATTACGTGCAGCTGGTATACTATGTGCTGCTAATACACTATTAAAAAACTTATAGCAATATATAAAAAAGCTATCTTTGATAATATATTGAAAGAAGTGATTACACTGTACTTTAATAATATGTAAAACGTTAATACATTCTATATATAGAAGTATATAAAGGCTATAGAAAGTTGTCAATTAATAGGCCTCATAAGCATCTTGTCACTTTGATATAGACCATATGTATCACACGCTTCATAAAAACCTTCTAATAAAGGCTTGGTTTCTCCGCTGAAGGTCAGAGCTGCCGAGAAAGGAGAACCTGGGGAATATAACAGGTTCTGTTACATCCAGRCCATTTTCAATAGCAGCAGAACACGGAAATGTGGAAGTGTGCAGTTTCTGTGAGGCAGATGAGGCCTTTATCTTTAGTTCAGTGACTGCAGGAGCAGAATTGCTGTGGCTCTTCAGTGTCAAACTCGAGTTTGGCTGCTCAAAATGGCAGAGTGGTCACSTCCCATCAACAATCCCCTGCTACCTGCTGTTTGTTCCTTTCTTTTTAGATAGAAGATCCTCCGAGCCTTTGCCAAACTCAGAGGCAGCCAGACCAGCAACATCCTGAGCTCTCTCCTTGGCCACAGCCCCCTGTGCAGGACAGGCTCCACAGGAGGCACGTTCCACAAAAGATGGGCCCAAGCACAAAGCCCTGACTCCCCTGGTGGTGACAGCAGCCGACCCTAATGCACACCAGGCACAACGTACATGGCCACCTATTTCATCTCTGCCCCTGTGGCACCGGCTGCAGGGCCACCACGKCCACCATGGCAGCGTCAGAAGGTGATACTGTCTAACTCTCCTGAAAAAAAACAACTGCTGGACAGGTCTTTCTGGGAGAACAGCTCTGACAAGGACAAGAGGAATGACACAGTGTTCTACAGGGCAAAAGATGGTTCTCCATGTGGATGTATCCCATGAACTGAATGTGGAGGTGGAGTCCCCAGTCAGATCACACCAACCCACGTTCAAATATGCACACCAACCTAGATGCAAATTAGCACTCTAAGCTGCAGTTATACCTTTGGTATTAACAGAGAGGCGTCTGTGTGGGTGAACATTTAATTTCCTGTGAAAAACCTTTCCTGCACTTACTGTCAGGTTTTTGTTACACRTCAGGCTTGTTATACCATCGGTGCGGGCAGCATATTAAACTGCCTGTGCTGGTATGCAAGCTATCATCTCAGMCCCAACTGGGCTAATATTTATATAATTTGTGACACTGCTGCCATCAAATTTTTCCCAAGCCATGCTTGCCTGATTTCCCTGGAGATGCACAGGGCAGGGAGYATAGGAGCCTTGGGGACACAGGCTGCAGCCAGGCAGGGCTAATGTCATGGGCCCCTGCCCTGCACTACCTAATAGCACCAGGGCTGCAAATCAAAGCCAAAGCTGGGCAGCTGGCTCCAGTGGCAGGTCCAGCTGCAGGACTGTGCAGAACTTGGCAGAAGGGTCAGCACTAGCCCTGGGTATGGCCAGGTATTTTTTCAGACTCATGCTGCTGAGGAAGAAATTTCCTGCAAGGAAGTTTGCAAACTCCCATTTGCAAAGCAATTTGTTTGAAGGATACATTGAAAAGAGTTCTTGGTGGTGAAAATCAGGGCACTGACTTGATATGAGGGGGGAAGTTGGACCTTTTACAGTGCATCTGGCATGAATAAGATGGGAAAAGCTTAGTTAAGTACAAAGAGACAATAGTTTTAGTGTTATTTCCATTTATTAACATCGCCAATTAAAACCTATATGTCTGTTCCATCCATTTTGGATACAGATTTGAAAGGGAGTTGATAGCCCACAAATTACAATTAGAGCATTAAACTAATGATTATTTTTCCATTTAGGTCGTACAAACTCTACATATGCTATGTAGATATTATCCTTTTATGGTTATTTAACCTGCTTCCACCAGCCACCCTGATCTTCAGGTTTCTGTTTTATTTCTCRTTTGCTTCTGTCTTTGAGCAGTTCAAGTTTATACATCTCAAGGTTTGGACTGCTGTTGTAAGGCAACTTCAATGTGAGTACTACTCATCAACMTTCATCAACAACAATGAAACAACAGCCAGGAGCAGAATCTTGTATGTAAAGGCAAGAATGAATTATAAATTTAATAATGCATATTACAGAATATATTACTAATACTTTCATAAATACATATCTTTTCAATATTTCACCATCAGTAATAAAATATATTTATAATCTGTCATAAAGAATGTAAGTACTGTACTAGCACTCTGGTAGTTTGAAAAAAGAAATAAATTGTGGTTACCAAAAAGTCAGGGTTTTTTCCCTCCTCTAATAACTGCAGTCTCCCTTGAGATGTGGATATTCTACTGAAGTACAATACTGGAATTCTGTAATTATTTTTAATATCAAACAGTATTCTTCGGCACAGCTTTTGCACAGAAGGCACAATAAGTCCAAGTTAACATTAACTATTCATAAATACATAAATATTTCTCACTTACACATATGTTGCAAAGCTACAGAACAGAAACAGCAGTTATGTTCTTCTTTCAAAATATTCTTTTCAGTGTTTGTTCTTGAGTTGATTACATAGCCCAGATTTTCTTTTCAGATGACCTAACATTAGTAGTCTAAGAAGGAGTTATCACRTGGGGAAGAGAGGGTGTGAGAGACTGAATACTATGAAGGCCTTTACTASTTACATATTCAAATAATCCCAAAATTTCAGAAAAACTAGAATGGTGAACTTCAGGTTTCTGTATCAGGCTAGCCATGGGAAAATGTAAATCCATGGGTTTCATCACTGCTGCTTATTAGAAGAYTTGCTTATGTCACTTCTTTAAAATGCAAAACAAAGAATAACTTTTACTCCATCTTTATTTTAAATTAGTCTTTGTCTTAAATTCTTTGCTAAACRGAGTTTTGGTATCTGGACAACTGCAACTTCTAAAAGTTCTATCATATCCAGATACTGAACAATGTTTAATTWAATGTCAATTTTCCAATATTTTYCCCCAAATGTCTAAAGTGATCTATGTCTCACTCTGGGCTGTTGGGGACATTGCACCTCTCCTGGGTACAGAAGTACATCCTGCCTGCATCTCAGTTTTACAGCAGTTTGAGGCTCACACAGGCGTTCATCATTCATCTCTGCTCTGGTTTCCATGGAGCAGATTTCCACCAGAATCTTCTTATGTTCAGTTTAGTGGTGTCTTACCTTATGCCKTTCTTTTCCAATTCTTATTAGTTAGATTTTTAATTGCAGTTATAGTCACCTAAGCCCAAAGCAACTCCATTTCATTTCAGTGGAATTATCCTGGATTTACCCTGTAATAGCTTTGATCCAAATCTGGTCTCT